CATTTTTAGGCTTTTGCCAGCAGTACTTCATATTAGTACTGTAGAGAGAGAAAATTGCGCAAGAGAGAGTTTGAGTAGGCTCCTAGCTGTGTGTGAAGATGGAGGCCTGGGAATTAAGAACCCTTAGCTGTGTGTGAAGATAGGGAGGTTTATATAGTGGATTCTTTTATTTATTTATTTGACACATCATGAGCTGTACTTGAATTTACATGCTCACACTACCAATACACCTTTACCAAACCAATCATCATCTTCATCAACAATACCTCCTTTACCAGTCCAACCATTTTCATCCTTATTACAAGATCATAATAATAATAATTTTGGTAGTGTGGATCCTCAACTATATAATTTTACTACTACTGATACACCTTTGCCAAACCAATCATCATCTTTGTCAACAATACCTCCTTTACCGGTCCAACCATTTTTGTCCTTATTACAAGATCATAATAATAATAATTTTGGTAGTGTGGATCCTCAACTATATAATTTTACTACTACTGATGTGCCAACAACAATAACATTCTCACCAATTCAATCATCACCTTTATCCCCATCACAGTTTTCATCCTTATCACAGGGTTATAATAATAGTCATTCTGACAATGACATAAATTATGCAGCAACTGAATTAGAATGCCTTGGCATTATTTGGGCAATCAAACACTTCCATTCATATCTTAGTGGATCAAAGTTTAAATTGAACATGCACCATTGAAATATTTGAACAACATGAAAGAACCTAAAGGGAAACTAGCTAGATGGATTATGACTTTACTATCCTATAATTTCGAAGTAGAGCACAGGGCAGGAAAGAAACACCAAAATGTAGATGCTATATCAAGAATCAAGTCGGAATAATAGTAATAGAAGAGTGGAACATTCATAAACATTCAAATAAATCATTCATGCATATAATCAGGTGGTTGTATATATGCATTGAAATTTTGAATAATTTTTGTAGCACAACCCATTAAAGTGTCATATGATATAATTGATTATCTGATTGATTATGCAGATAGATATAAAAGAATCATGTGTGCATTACAAGATACAAATATCAACTGATTTGTAAATACTTATCTACAATTATGCTTCCACTGCTGTTTTATCTGGAAATTTAAGAGCATATTATTCCAATAGGTGATGTGAAGCATTGAGTTTTTAACTCCTGAATTGGTTCTGAATTTTCAGGATAAGCATCTAATACCTCATCAAGAGAAATTCCCAGCTCTTTTAAATTAGTGCAATGCAAATAATATATCTTCTTACTTCAATTATTTGTTAGCTTTATTATTTATGTATTATTATTTGCTAAAAAATAAATATCATATTATATATACATTATTATTTTAATTATTAATCAAATCTGTAAGCCTTCTCTACAAAGAACACCCATTTCTCCACTATTGAACACGCCACCTTTTTGTTTGACTTAAACCATTCATTATGATTTTGTTTACAAAACTCACATAATAAATTAACTTGATATACTTCTAATTCTAAATGAATAAGCCTTTCCATATGATGAGTATATTTACATTTTTGCCATCAGGTGAAATTTTTATTAATTCTGCTTTGTAATGACATTTTTTTTCCCACTGCTCCAAATGTTGACCCTTGCCTTTTGTTCTTCCAATTTTATATAGATGATTCATTTTTTTTCTTTATTTAATACTATTATTATATCAATTAGTAATGTGTTTATGAAATTTGCCAATAAGTCAAAAAATTCAAAATCACAAACCTTTGTAAATGTAAATGTAACCGGGCTCGTCATATAACGAAATATCCTTGTTTATTTCAATACGCAAAGAAATTTCCATCTTTTTTGTAATGTTTTTCTCCGCGTAATCTATAAATGAACAAATCGTAAAACCATTCGTTGGTGATAATTAAAAAAGATACCTTTTACAACAACAAAAAAGATACAGTAAATACCATCAAAATTAATATGGTTATTGCACAGCTTTCCAGTATTAACAAGTGATTTGGAAGGAGTTTTTTCTATAAAATAACATTAAAACATGTGTATTTAATATCAATCTATAAATAAATGCTAAGCTGTTTTAAATTAGATTATCGTTTGTGTGCATTACAAGATACAAATATCAACTGATTTGTAAATACTTATCTACAATTATGCTTCCACTGCTGTTTTATCTGGAAATTTAAGAGCATATTATTCCAATAGGTGATGTGAAGCATTGAGTTTTTAACTCCTGAATTGGTTCTGAATTTTCAGGATAAGCATCTAATACCTCATCAAGAGAAATTCCCAGCTCTTTTAAATTAGTGCAATGCAAATAATATATCTTCTTACTTCAATTATTTGTTAGCTTTATTATTTATGTATTATTATTTGCTAAAAAATAAATATCATATTATATATACATTATTATTTTAATTATTAATCAAATCTGTAAGCCTTCTCTACAAAGAACACCCATTTCTCCACTATTGAACACGCCACCTTTTTGTTTGACTTAAACCATTCATTATGATTTTGTTTACAAAACTCACATAATAAATTAACTTGATATACTTCTAATTCTAAATGAATAAGCCTTTCCATATGATGAGTATATTTACATTTTTGCCATCAGGTGAAATTTTTATTAATTCTGCTTTGTAATGACATTTTTTTTCCCACTGCTCCAAATGTTGACCCTTGCCTTTTGTTCTTCCAATTTTATATAGATGATTCATTTTTTTTCTTTATTTAATACTATTATTATATCAATTAGTAATGTGTTTATGAAATTTGCCAATAAGTCAAAAAATTCAAAATCATAAACCTTTATAAATGTAAATGTAACTGGGCTCGTCATATAATGAAATATTCTTGTTTATTTCAACACACAAATAAATTTACATCTTTTTTGTAATGTTTTTCTCTGTGTAATCTATAAATGAACAAATCATAAAACCATTTGTTGGAGTTTATTAAAAAAGATACCTTTTACAACAACAAAAAAGATACAGTAAATACCATCAAAATTAATATGGTTATTGCACAGCTTTCCAGTATTAACAAGTGATTTGGAAGGAGTTTTTTCTATAAAATAACATTAAATCATGTGTATTAATATTGCGAGCATGTAAATTCAAATACAGCTTGTGATGTGTCCAATAAATATATAGGTTAAAATATTAAAGTCCAATAAAATATATAGGGAATTGCTATTTCTCACTGGTGGTGATTGTCACCACCTAAGGAATCATGCAATTTATGATTAACCCCAACCCTAACTCCGCCCCATGCAAATTTAATTCCTTAGGTGGTGACAATCACCACCGGTGAGAAATAGCAATTCTCAAATATATATTAATCCTTCCTCAATTCCCACTCACCCTTAGGAGCTTACTATACTCTTCCGCTCACCCTCAGGAGCTAACAAATTCTGCTCACCCTTAGGAGCTATCTAATCCCACTCACCATCTAATCACGGAATGATTCTATTTGCACAATTCTCACTCTACAGTACTAATGCTAAGTACTGTTGGCACTAGCCTAAGATAATAAAATAAAAAGGATATATACAAGGAATATTTACAACTATACCACTTGAGGTGTCCCTACAGGCAGCATAGAACAATCAAATGGGGGTTTCCTAACTAATGATTAGTGGCAAGCCACTAATCATCAGAGAGGACCATGGAACAATTCACAATGGCTTTTCTATTAACTATGCAAAAATTCGTAATAAGGTAAAATGTGTTTATTTAATTATTAACAATGGGGGGGGAGAAAGAAAGAAAAAAAAATTATTTATTCAATTATTATTATTGTATCATGAACACGATCCACTTCCTTTCACTTGGTCTAAAACCAAGCCTTTTTATACCTCTTGAGGTATTACAAATAAGATGACTTTTACAATATTTTATCCAATAAAATATGCTTATTAATCCTAGCTTACTAATTGCTAATTACTAATGCTCTGACTTGTCAAATGAAAAAGAATGTCCTTCTCTGGTTAGATTAACTGAGCTCACATGGGTAAGTAACTCTTTCTGTTCAGGATTCTGGTGAATTGACTCAAGAAAAAATACTACTGATTGAGCATAATTGCTTTTTCCAGTTATAGGGAACAATGGAGCAAATGCAGCCAAGTTCTCTATCTGCATTTCAAAATTTCCTCTACGTATACCTAGTTGATGGCATTTCCAGAATCCAAAATAACGGTAGTATAAAAACCATATTCTTAATACATAATTATTTCCTTCAAGAATATCATCTACTGTCATATTTCTTTTTAATACATATTGATTAATAGATATTCCAACAGCTGCCCAAATTAATTCTAAAATACAAGATGTTGCTCTATAATCAACATTTTTTTCCAATGTTTCTAAAAAACAAACACCAAGTGCAGCTGCTATATTATAAATTCCGTAACCACTAAATGCTGTGATTAAGGCACTACACATAGCTTTGGATGTATGCCATCCACCTAAAATAAAACATCCAGTCATGTTATCATTATGGTATGATTTGGTTCTTCTAAAGATTGCTTCATCACAAGCCATGTCAATTATATGTTATCCAAGATCATCAAAATACTTATTTATTGAACTAAAGACATTTTCATTATTTTTAGGAGCAGGTCCTGCATCAAGAATGACAACATTTGGTGGTGGAACTTGATGGCCTATTTCAATTTTGGATGCAATTTTTGAATTAATATCCTGAACATCAAAACCACCTTCATAATTTTCAATAAGCTGTTGAAATATCATGTCAATATTTTTTTCCCATTTACTAATTAAAGATGATTTTCCAAATAATGCATCACTGTGAGTCTGTGGATGATTGATTTGTAAAAATGAAGCTACTGGAAATGGAAGTTGAAATTGAAAGACCATCCTGAGTGTGGCATGTGCAGAATTTCTGGTTACATCATATATGTTTCCATAATGAAAGGTTGTATCCTTAAAATCAATGTATCTATAACTGCAACATTCCAAGTTTCAGGGGTTCTGAGCAAGTTTGATCAAGGATCTACATTTTTCTTTCTTTCTTTTTGTTTTTTTACTTCATGATCCCATGAACATTTACTGTATGGAGTATTGATTGCAATATTGAAATCATTTAGGTCTTCGACAAAGTGATGCCATGGTATGAGTTAACCATATTTTCCATGTTGGAAATGCAACTGTAAGAATCATTGAAGCAATAAAAACAGTAATTTTCTGAATTGAAGAAGGATCAAAATCTTTTGGAAAATGACCACTACTCTTTTGTTTTCTTTCAGAAACTTGATGCTTTTTTTGTATTATAGAACCAATCATGCCATCAAAAAATTAATCAAGGTTGTGGGGAATGAATTATAGTACTGATTTAGGGAAGTTGGATTTTCTAAAATTGAAAGAATTTGTTTAAGTTCTTTGCATGAATTCCAAATGGAATTACCCAATTGTTTTCCAAAATTTTCACAATTATTAACATTTAATTCTTCTATTGGTAGATTAATATTGGAGTCATGTAATTTCATGGCAGTGTTTACAAGGAACACACTAGGAGTTGCTGCTTTTGATAATAATTGATCGGTAGAGTTTGTTGTTT